GTTGGCACTTCTAGAATGACTGGATCATGTGAAAGTCACGTGAGTTGCCGCGTCGCGTTTCAAAAGAACTGCTTGACGAATATTTTCGACGCGTTATTCGGCTTCCTTCACGTGTCACGGGCATGAACTGCCGTATTTACGTGTCCAGGCTTCTTTGGGGTGTATCATCGGACACCTAAGCAGTCACATGATGCTTTGAGCTTCGAAATGTTGGGTTGGGACTAGAGAGTCTGCTAGCAAGCTTCGGACTAGGTTCAAAGGTTAGGAGCTCGTCAAAGTCAAAGTTTAGTCATCAAAGACGTTAAGTAGGATCCTAATGATGTTGGTGAGATGTCTTAGGAGCCTTCCAAACGTGGTCAAAACTGATGAAGTCCATAGATATTGTGGTATAACGCGCAAGCCGTAAAATGAAATGATAAGCAGAGAATAAACTGAGAGAACTGAGCTTAATATCGCAACTGAGGTCACAAGTTGTGATACAAGGGGTTTATATACTGACTATGGTAGGTACTTGAGAAATCCTTCGGATGTGTTTGGGATCTCAAAGGTTCTTGAGGCATCAGGCCTTGATGCCTTGAGGTTTGTTGAACTTGTTTCAAGATCGTTATTTAAAATTTGGGAGTCCTCAATCATACTATATTTAGCAGATATCATAATGAAAGATGTCAGTTAGTGAAATATAGCTGTGTTGTGGAGTGATCTCGAGGGGAGATGATGGGTAAGGCGTCCAAGATGAAACTGCCAGTGATCTGAGGGTTGGGCCAATGATGCCAAGGTCTTCAAGAGTTTTGAGAGTGTTGGTTTTAGACTTAGTTGAGTTTGATATAGGGTTGCCGGTGATCCATTGATGATGGGTTGATGTAATGATTCGGGGAATTATTTGGGTGGGTCGTAACAGTCATAGCCTGCACATACACATAAGATTTCACTGCATTAAATTCCTGAAACCACATTTTAAACTCATTTTATCAGAATGTTAAAGTACCGACCTTAGCTCAGCTGGAAGAGCACAAGACTGTAATGGCTGACTAAGCATATCTTGGGGTCGCCTGTTCGAGCCAGGCAGGTCGGATTTTTTCTTAAAAAAAAAAAAAAAACACAATATACATTTGAATCCAGTAAATTGCATTGTTATATGCGCACAGCCCAATGCATTAAGTTGTAGGTTTGTGGATTTACATGTAACAGTACTTTAGTGTGTCCTGTTTGAATTCATGTGGAGAATGAAATTTACATCATGTGATGAGCTTCAAAGCTGACCCTTCAGAAATTGAAAGACCACTTTGAATGCTACTATTGACAAGGTTGGCTAGTTTTGCAGAACAATCCCAGGATACTGAGAATTACATGTTGTTTAATTTTGTTAGCCAAAAAATGCCGACAGGGCATAAATATCTGGTAATTATAGTTCAAGAGCCTACTGTGTCACTTTATCAAAGGCTAGTCTAAGTGTTGTCTCCTCCTGCTTGAGGTCACTGTCATCATTGCCGGATGTGCCTTTATTGTGTTGTATGTATATTTTTATCAAATGTGCAACATATTCATCATAGTGCTTTTCAAATTGTTGCATGATTGTGGCATCGAGTGGGGATAGTTTAGTAGGAAATAAAATCAATTGAGTGCATCATCATGTGTCTAGTATATATGCAACTTCACATATCTAGCAATGACAACAGTTGCTTGTACTCTAGTTCTTAGTTTTCTAGGGCTTTTTGACAGTTTATTATCCACAAAATAATTAGAGCACATACTATCTTTGCGAAGAATATCTGTTTGGAACATTGAAAAAATGTGGTGGGAGTTAAACTTGGTGATCACACAGCGACACATCATATGTGTGTCACATTGAAAATACACTATAATCAGAAAATATGTAACGAGAATCCTTTTAGCTTCAAAAAAAAATCCAGAATTTTAGTTTCAAATAGAGACAAAGTCATCAAAAATCAAAAACATGATTCTGTATAATTATGAAAACCGCTATGAGAAAATTAATGACATCAAAGTTTTTGAAATAGTTTGGGCTCAATTTAGCTCAACTGCCTCCAATTCTGCTTGTTTAGGCTTGTATTGGCTTGATCACTGGGCTTAAGGCTGCTTAAGGTGGGTGACACTTCCACTGTTTTCTGAGGATGAAAAACATAACACTTAGCGTAACCTGATATATCAGAGGAGAAGTCACTGACTTCAACGCAATCCTCAGCTCTCATCACCATATTGGAGCTTCTAAGAAGAATCAAGGCAGTATTGGTGATCACAACATCATCTTTGGAGTCAGTGATCTGGTGCAAAAAATCAAGACTAGCAGCAACTGGCACATCATTGTGTCATCATACAGCAAAAGCATTATCCATGCTGTTTCCAGACCAAACCCAGGAGTGGTCCAGCCATATTACAACTCTTTGGCGCCAAAGACATCTCCGCTCACAACAGAGTCATTGCTTTTGACCAAGTCATTTGAGCAAGGGTTGGGGCAGGGACAAAGATTCTACTCACCCAATACGACAAATTTTTCCAACCTCAAGGTTTCCATCCTTGATGTTGATAGAATTCAAGGTAGTGCTTGAGGAGGTCTCTGTTTTGTGCACATCTGTAATCATGCAAGACTCCAACAGCTGGCTTTTCTTGATAGAATGAGAGGCAGGAAAGATCAAATTTCTATTTACTGGGACGCTCCTCTTTGCTGAGTCTGTCATTGTCTAACTGCTCACTGACAGGCGATTTGGATCAACAAGATCAAAACTTCCTTGTTTTCTGACCTGATTCCGATACCAAGCCCATCCTCCTCAGAAGCGCTGGTGGTTTGCTTGGATCCTGCAACATCTTTGTCATTTTGGACTTAGTCCTTTGTTGTTCAACAAAGCTCTTTTCAATGTTGTCAAGGAGCTGGAAATATCCAAGGACTGCTTCCTCTTTTTTGTCATTTCTGATGTCACACTGATTTGCAATAGTAATGATTTGGTGGATGGCAGTATTTTTGCCAAGTTTGCACCCACGGATTGTACCGTCGATGAGTTCAAGGTAGGCATCATCTTGTTTCTTCTGTTGTTTGTCATCTCCTTCATGTTGTCCTGGTTGTGACAACCGTGTGGATTTTCCTTTGTCAACGGCAGGTCAATACCCCTTAGGAGGGAGAGTTAGGGCAACTGATGCTGAGGTGCTGGATTGGGCTGGCGCTGTGCTGCTATGTTTCTTCGCGCTCAGTACTCCTTCAAAGAAGCTGGGAATAGCAGGTTGGTCCTCTGAACTTCCTGACTCTGTGTTGCTTTTATGCCCACAGGGACTCATATGTAATAGGAGTCAATTGAGTGTAACGATGAACAAAGTTCTGTTTTTAACGCAAAATATAGTACTGTTGTGAACTACTTACGAGAGTCCTGAGTATGGTTCTGGGACCTGTAAGTAGACTGATAACTCACTAGAAGAGAGTCAGGATATGGTGCTGGGGCAAGGTTATTAGACATTGTCTTGACTCTCTCCAGGCGAGTTTGTACATGTGAATTTTGCCAGCCCCTCTCGCATTAAAATCCTGAAAACATCATTTTAACTCAACGAAATATTTCTCAGGTCGCTTGTTCAAGCTAGGCAGGTCCCATTTTTATTTTCAAGGTTACTTTTGTCGGATTTTTTTTTCTTAACTCACAATTGAAGGAACACGTTGATACGCCTACCATACTTCTGGGCCTAGAATCGGCAAGAAGCATAGCGGAGGTCTTACCGACTTTTTTTGATTTTTCCGCTAAGAACACACGCGACGCGACTGGTCATGTGATTGGCATGTGATTGACCGGACCGGTAGCGGCTTTCCTTACCGACTCGACGGATAATCAACTCAGCCGTTATCTGTGGGCCTTAACCGCTAAAACATTATATCCCTGGCACCGGTTCAAATAACCGTTTCTCCCCGCTTCTCCGACCCCTATACCACATCACGCCATCCTCGCTAGCTTCACGCGACGCTAGAAACCTTTATCCTCAGACCGGCAATACTGTTATCATGGAGTTCTACCCTCGGCCGACCGTTTCCAGCCCCTGTGTCTTAGTCATTTGACATATTCTGTCAACGGCTATG